CCATTGGTGGATTAAAATTATTCCTAATGATACTTTTGAAATATTTACGAACTTCAAACTGATCATAATTACTAAGCATAAAGCTCGGGATCATAAAAATTATCTTTTCTTACATGTTTGGACTCAAGTTCTTCTATTCAGTTTATAGCATAGTATATCAATTGTAACATCAAAGGTACGGATGGAAAACTTATGGTTTGTCAATATTGGTGTGAGATGGAATTTATTGAATTTTGGAAATTTACTTTTAAAGTATAAGTATGTTTTCACTTTTATTCTTAAAAAATAAAAACGTTAGGCCACTAATCTAATACAATTTTTGAAAGAAATGTAGAAGATTAAATATTTTATTGTAAGTTTACTTTCCATTTAAATTTCTCTATAATGAACATGAAAATTACCTAGTTATTAATTAAATAGTATAAAATTAATATTCTGATAATGAATCTAAGAATACATTTCATGCTTTGAAATAGAGGGTTTGTAACTCCTACTTCACTTACTCATTAGCAGCTACAAAGTTAAATATACTTCAACTTGCTGCAATTAATAAAATAGACAGTTAAGTCATCTGTTAAAGATTTTCACTGTGCATGATTTCAATAAGAATCTTTGCATTAAATTTATCTTCCAATTTTATTTCAGATTTTATATTGACTGTTAAACTGGACTTTTAACTGAATTTTGATGTTTCCAATGATTTATTTGTAATGTTTGCATATTTATAATTAGGAAACATTTCGTAAATATACTAGAGGCCTGGTGCACAAAGTTCGTGCACTTGGGTGGGGGTCCCTCAGCCCATCCTGTGCCCTCTTGCAGTCCAGGACCCCGCTGGGGATAGCTGGCAGTCAGACATGCCTCTCACAGTCCAGGACCCCTCGCTTCTTACCGCCCACCTGCTTGCTCTCACCACTGCTGCTGCACTTGCCAACTGTGAGCCCAGCTTCTGGCTAAGCGGCTCTCCCCTTGTGGGAGCACACTAACCATGAGCATCTGCTCCCCGTGGTCAGTGCGCATCATAGTGACCAGTCATTCCAGCTGTTCTGCTATAATGGTTGCTTAGGCTTTTATTATATAGATGAAACTACCTGACAGTCAATGTGAACCCTGAGGGGTCCCAGATTGTGAGAGGGTGCAGGCCAGGCCAAGGGACCCCACTGGTGCACAATCGGGGTCGGGGAGGGACGCGGGAGGTTGGCCAGCTGGGGAAGGATCACGGGAGGGCTCCAGGGCATGTCTGGCTCATCTCACTCAGTCCTGATCAGCCAGACCCCAGCAGCAAGCTAACCTACTGGTTGGAGCATCTGCCCCCTAGTGGTCAGTGCACGTCATAGTGAGTGGTTGAGCAGCCTTAGCAAATCATTAGCATATTGTGTTTTGATTGGTTGAACGGACGACTGGACGACCGGACACTTAGCATATTAGGCTTTTATTATATAGGATGTGATTGTATAGATTTGTCAAATGTGTAAAAAATATTGTAGATTTAGTTAAAGGATTCATTCAAATTCCTTTTTACTTCTATTCTCCACAAAGAAAAATTACCTTCCTGTTCTGGTGGAAATAATTTCCATAGGTCAAAAATAATCCAAAATGATTAGTCAATGTCAGGGTGCCATTGGATGCACCTTCATTTCCCTCAGTGATTTACAAATGCCAGCCCAATAATATATTAAGCTCCCATATATATTTGGTCTTGTTTCTGGGTTCTCTATTTCATTATATTGGTCTCTCTGTCTAGCCCTTATCTAATACTCATTCCTCATTTGGGAAATATGGCTGAACTGTTATAGTTTTAGATAAAGCCTTAATAGGGTGCATCTAATTTAACAACTTTACAAAAAAACTCAGATTATATTTTGTTTTCTCTGCTGCATGATTGTTTTCTATTTATTTTTGTGTTTATTTAAAAAATTTCCTTATTTTTGTTTTCTTTGTGTTAAATTTGCTGGGCATTTTTATCTGTAACTTTTTAACATTGCTACTTAGATTATTAAATTTAAGTGTTTCTATTTTCCTAAAACATGCATATATTGCTATAAAGATCATTCTAAAGAAAGCATTAGCTACCTCACAGGTTATAATATGTTGTACTTTCATTATCATTCAGTTTCAAATATTTTATAATTTTTGTGTAATATCTTCTTTACTTATTGACTATTTAGAAGTATATTTTTCCAAAATATGTGGGAATTTCCTAGTCATCTTCCTATTAAAACTATAAAACTAATTTATAGCTTAATTCCACATTTTTGGGGAATATGCTGTGACTTTGATTCTTTCAAATGTTTAAGACTTTCTCTATAGCTTAGCATGAAGTCAATTTCTATGCATGCTCCTGGATCACTTGAAAAGAATATAAAGTTTTCAGTATAGCATCGTATATGTGTAAATTAGATTGATGTTTTGTTCAAACTTTCTGTATCCTTACTGACATTTTGTCTACTTACTCTTTCAACTGCTGATGGAGATCTGTTAAAATCTTTCATGAAAATTTTTGATTTTAGTTCTATCAACTTTTTTTCCTATAAACTAAGGCTATAATTTTTAGTGCATAGAAATTTGTAAGTATAACATCTTCATGATGGATTTATCTTTCTATAATTTTAAAATATTGTTCCTTAGTAATTTTTAAATTGTCTGCTTTGTTTAATATTATGCCAATATACTAGCTTAACTTTGTATTCATTTCCATTCAAATTTTAGTCTTTTGTGTCCTTATATGTATGGTGTTTGAACTACAAGTGATGTTTTAAAAAATCTGGTCTGACAATCTTTGGATAATGTATTGCATTTACATGTAACTGATTTTGCTACATTCTATTATTTCTTTAGACTTGTTCCCCACCCCCCCATCATACCATCCTTCAGTATTGGGTACACATACTGCTTTATTGACGTTAGGTCTCTCCATTTGTCTTTGACCATTGGGATGTACGTAAAATGATATCTCCCTTCTGCCCACCTGCTTTCTGTCATGGGAACATCACATCCCAGGTAATATTGCTCTTTCAGTCTGAGTCCCAGAGTAAGGAGACAGGAGAGGCAAACCAGAGCCCAACCCACAAGCAGCCTGAGCTCAGCTGTCACAGTCTCTGCTCCAGTGGCTAATGGGCTGCAGGAGCAAGACATAAATATTTTTGCAAGCCATCGAGATTTTTAGGTTGTTTTTGTCTTTATATAGTCTAATGAAAGTTAATTAATTTTAAAAATGGCACCATAAATGTGGTGTTGCTATAGAAAAATGTAAGACATGTGTCATTGGCTCTTGGGTGGAGAAAACTGTTACAGGAGACTGAAAAATAAAGGACAACCCATGTTATGCGGTGTGAAAGCATTTGGTAAGATTATCACCTATGATTACTTGGGAATAAGACCAGTTACTTAATAAACCTATGACTTGGTTAAGTTGTTAGTAAGAGAGAATGTTAATCACTTTCATTGGATACTTTTAGCTGTATTTATTAAGTTACTATAAGTCAGAAATATGCTCAAAAAAAGAATTGGTGTATTTGCTAGCAAGCATGAAAGAGAAAGAAGAAAATTCAGACATTCTTTGTACTCATCTGTTTACCTGCCCTTGGTGAGGTTAACCTATCACAGGCTAGAAAAGACCTGGCTTTGGAATCACATAGACCTATTTTCACCTCCCTATTCAGACACTGTTGGAAATACAATGTGCTCTTATCAGTTAAGAAAGGGTGATTTAACTCAGGTTATAAGCAACTCCAAAATATCAGTAGCTTAAAAGACCAAAGTTTATTTCTGATTTATGCTGCATATCCAACATGGGTGAACTGAAACTCTACTGTCATGGTCCCATCACATTCTTTCAGACTGATGGAGTTTCCAGTTCACCATATGCTTCCATTCGGTAGAAAAAAAGGGAACATACAAATATATAAACATCAGGTTAACTCCAAGAAAACAAACAGACCAGTATGAGCTGAAGGCTCTGAGACATAGTGAAGAAAGGCAGCCTGGTCCTGCTATTTTAGAGTCCATGTGAATATTCTAATAGAACTTAACAGGAGTGCTAAATTTTGAACAAGATTATTAGTACCCAGCTACAGTGACATATAATCCGTTTAAATATTTGTGCATCATTTGTTTTCATCTTAATACTTATTAAATCCATGTATGTTTACTAATCATCTTTTTCACTCATCTAATGGTGATTTAGGCACTAGGCACTGCAGTAGACATTAAAGGGATGATAAATGAAGCACAATAAGAAACTTCAGTCAGTTTATCATCTATAGAGGACCTATTGCAATAGCATGAGCCACAACACACTAAGTCACACACACACACACACACACACACACACACACACACACACACACTCACACACATGCGCGTTCTAAGCAGCTCTGAAAGAGCTCGGCTAGAGGCGGGTTTATTTATCCTAATGGCGGTGTTTTGCTTTTTGTTTTGTTTTGTTTTGACCTGAAGATTGTATTTTGAATTTTATGACAACTTCATCCTGATTTATTCTTAACTGAAAGCTCTAAACTATAATTAATAACTAATAGTTACAAAGCACTTTGTATGGATGGCCTTATTTAACTGTAACAAAGAGCCTTTCAGGTATTATTATCTTGTGTTATCTATGAGAAAACTGAGGCCAAAAAGTTAAGATTTTCCCTAAGTTTCAAAGCTAAACAGAAGGAGATCTGGGATTGGAAACCAAACAGATTTAATCTAAAGCCATGTGTTGTTGTTTTTTACCGTTATGCTCTGTAACTTTTTGTTTTGTGTGTTTTTTTTAAGTCTGAAGGGTTAATTTCCACTTCCACTTTTAAGTTCTAACCTGTTGCCTTTTCTGATTTTCATTTGTCCTTCAGGTTCAGAAATTCTAGAAAACTCCCCTTAAAACATAGTCAAATTTTACCTTTTTAAAAATGTAACTGGCTCTCAGCCGTGGTAGAGAACATGCTTTTTGATCTAAGTATCTCTCTTTTCCTCTCTTTCTAATATCATTTATTTTCCCCTAGGTCTCTACAGAAGAAGGCTTGGGTCTGGCCCGAGAATATAACTGTGCTTTTTTTGAGACCTCTGCAGCCCTCCGATTCTGCATTGATGATGCCTTTCATGGTTTAGTGAGAGAGATTCGCAAGAAGGAGTCAGTGCCTTCACTGACGGGAAAGAAACTGAAGAGGAAAGACAGCCTGTGGAAGAAGTTAAAGGGCTCATTGAAGAAGAAGAGAGAAAACCTGGCATGTTAGCCTCACTTTTAACTCCCTCTCTTTCTGAATTTTATCAGTTGGACAATTCCAGATGTTTCATTCTGCTTTAATTCTCTCTCTTTCTCTCTCTCTCTCTCTCTCTCTCTCTCTCTCTCTCTCTCTCTCTCCTTCTCTCACTCTGACTCATATCTGCCTGTAGGTAAAAGCAAGATCTGCATAACTGTACCTCTTGAGATAGTTTTGTTTTGCCCTTAACAGTTGGATGAGTTTTGTCAATCAGTTGGATATGCTGTTTAGTTTTTATAATATATGACTAAATAAAATTGACATTCCAATTGACTCATTTCCCTTCAAAGAGTCGAGCTTCATTTGGTATGCTGTCTGGTTATAGAAGGAATATTCAAAACTGCAGACAGAATGATAAAAGGCTCAGGGGACCTGCCTCTGCCTGATAAGCCTCTGGTTGTTTGCATTCCAGGAATGTCAGAAAATAATGAGGCAGCTCAGGAAAGGATTCAGAGCAGGCATCTGTAGCCTGGCGCTTCCTAAATGCGGAAGTTGTGGTGCTTTCTCTGGAAGGCTCCATAGATGACCCTCAGAGGAATAATTAATAACAGAAACTGGTTGAGGATCACTGGAAGACTGAAGTGAAATATCCCATTTACAATGCTCTGCCCTGGAAGGTTTTGGGAAAATTATCAGTGAAGTCACTGGGCTGAGGCAAAGGGGTATCCTCTTTGTATTAAGGAGAGAGGGTGCTATGAATCGGGTGGTTCATGTACTCATAAAAGGACACCCTGCTTGTGTCCCTCTTAGGGTTGCCTCACCTGTGGTGGGGACATCTGCAGGGCAAGAGGCTTGTTAGCTCCAGAGACCCTAAATTCTCTTTATTTTGCCCAAATTTCTGATCTTGTCCTACTCAAACCATGCACCACCACCAATCAGAGGGCCTTTTTTCTTGTTTGTTTTACAAAGGATCATCAAGTAAAATGAAATTGCCCATTAACTCTTTTACCCCATTGTGTGAATTGGCTTATTCAAATTTAGCACAGAAAGCACCCTATCAGAAAAAACTACATTTTTGAAAACCGGATGACTGCCCTATCTATGAATAATAATAGTGGCTGGTATGTTTCCTAACACAACTAAGTCTTTGTAAATTTTAATGTCAGCTTCCCTGCCTTTAGCTCTAGAGATCTGAATCTCATTTCTATCTTTCCCCTTCCTTCTCTTTATTCTTCTCAACTTTAATGAATAATGTATGTAGTTTAGAAATTCTTAGTGAGATTTAGATTGGGGAACAGTTACCAAGTGCCACCATTTCATTCTATAGAAGGAAGGAGGTCTGTAAATTATCACTCAAGGGACAGCATGAATTTGAGAAAGTTGTCAGTAGCAGAGATAGAAGCAGACTTCAAGCATTGTTTTAAATCAGTCTTCTTTCTAGAAGTCTGGGCCAGAGAAAATGTGCCAGAAAAATAGAACCTAGTATTTCTGCCCAAGAACTATTGATTCATTCTCTTTGGCATCAGACCAAAATGCCAGAATCTCATTTCTGATCACTCTTCCTGAAGAATTCTGACCAGACCTAGGATATCTATGCCAATCTCAAATTTTCAGAGAAGAGAACCACAGTGTGCATTGCCAAGGGATTGTCAAGAAACTGTTGAAAAGAAGAATAAGTGTCCATGGTGGACAAATGTGTAGTCACCTAACACAATTTATCAAATAGTACTGTTCTAGAAAACACACTTGTGCATAGGTGAGATTCGTGTGTGTGTGTGTATGTGTGTGTGTGTGTGTGTGTGTGTTTGGTGAGACAGGAGGCAATTCTGAATATAATTTCTGCTCTCCAAAACTGTATCATCTATTTTTTATTAAATTTATTGGGCAACATTGGTTAATAGGATCATATAGGTTTCAGGTATAGATTTCTATGATACAAGATCTGTATATGACACTGTGTGCCTGCCACCCAACATTAAGTCTTCTTCCATCACTATAGTTTAGGCTCCTCTATCTATTTTCCAGTATTTTTCATTAAATTATTTGTGTTTCCCCATGATAAAATAATTTATCAGATCAGAGACAAATGTCAGTCTAAAATATTACATTTTGTATTTAGTGGGCAACAGTTGAGGTTGGAAATTTCTGTAGAAAATGCCAGTGAGAAGGAAACATGGGCAATTAGGCCAAACATTATTCACTTCACACTCAGATGTGCAAGAAATAGATGGCTGCTTTATTTCTCTATAACTCATCTGTTCTTTCTCATGAGTCTCTGACTAATGGATAGATGGGGGCTGAGGGGACCGAATTTTAGTTCAGTCCAGTAATTTAGTGCTAATCTGAAGCAATAATATAAGAAATATCTTTAAATAACACAACCTCTGCTGGGTACACTTAGGTCAGTGTTTGATCAGCCAACGTTTTGCCCTGTTTATTCTTCTTTCTAAAATTGCATCTGGGTAAAAGAGGAAGGCATGGCTCATGTGACCTCATGGCAGTAGAGTTCCCATCTCTCATCTTCTCATTTCTATAGTATCTTCTGCATCCTTTTTCATCTTTTTAACCAAGGGTCTGGCTTTATTTTTAAAACATTTTATTTTATTATCATAAGAACACTTAACATGGGATCTACCCTCTTTACAAACTTTTTTAGTTTATAATACATTAATGCTGACTAAAGGTACAATGTTGTGCATCACATCCCTAGAGCTTATTCATCTTGCTTGAAACTTTATGCCTCTTGATCAGTAACTTGCCATTTTTCCCTCCTCCCAGCCCCTGGCAATCACTTGATTCTATTTACCAGATTGGTTGACTCTAAGGTATGTTGGATAGAGATGAGTGGGGCCACGATTAATAGGCACTTTCTCCTGGTGTCCATGAACTTCCCCTTTGCCTTAGGGTCTCAAGGCCCTTCCCAACAAAGCCTCTTTATTCTGACCCTAAGTCTCTGCCAGTCCACCTCTGCCAGTACCTCTGCCGCCCCTGGGGATCCCTTGCATGTCACACAGGCCATGGGATCTGGGCTGGTGGGATGAAAAAGAGGATCTTGCTGTGGAATCCATTTGCTTTATTAGTGGCTCTCTTCTACAAGGCTATATGCTTTTCCTTTCTCCACGTAGTCCTGCAACAACATACTGGCATCCAACGTAAACAAGGGGACAGAATTCAGTGATCAAAGATGAAAAAAGATTTTTTTTTTGTTTTGTTTTACATGGCATCTGTTCTTCGGCTGAGGGACCAAAACACATTGCTTCAAAGGATGCAAACTCCATATAAATAAAACTAAATATATTTGAGAAGATAGAAAAATCCATAGGTCAAAAAAAATTAAGAAAGGGGAATATATATAAAATATTTTGAAACATAATGAGCCTTGTTATACATGCAACATCTAAGACTAAGTCTTCTGAAGCTTTATAGAAATTAAGGTTGTAGTCTTTTTGGTTTGGGTCTTTATATGATATTAAGAGATACTCTAAAATCTACCTGTCCTAAATCCTCTACTGTCAGCTTGCATGTGAGCAGCTCTACATGGCCTGACTTTTTCCCATTCAAGTTTCTATTTGGGGTGAAATGGCAAAAGTCATTCTTTCAGACCATCTATCTACTATTAAACGTAAGTCCAAAAATTAGAAAATGTAACTATCTCAATAAAATGTAAACAACATAAATATCTACTTGCCACTTTTGAAAGCAGGGTGAAGGGGCCTGTGGTGAAAGGAAAAAAGAATTTCTATGGGTGAAATAAAGGATTTAGACAATACATAATTTTAAGGTCTACATAGCCTACCATTCCTGGAAACTCTGAACATTCAGGATAGAACAAAGGAACAGGCCACAGGATGAAAGGATTTCTAAAGGAATAAAGGATGCTGAACACCACAGCAGGATAGGAAATAAGAATGCAACACAAAACTCATGGACAAACTACATTATTCATCCATGTGCTTCAGTCCAGTTCTGCCTCAAGTACTCTGTAACCAGGTGTAGCTATCTCTTTTCAAAACACTTGTGCACATCATTAAATTGTATTGGGGGGGGGGGAGGAAGCACATCAATAAGCTTATGATTTATTCTAATAAAACTCTGGTACAACATTTTTTGTTGTTTTGTTTTATTTTAAATATATTTTAATTCATTTCAGAGAAAAAGGGAGGAGAGATAGAGACATCAATTATGAGAGAGAATCATAAATTGACTGCCTCCAAACCCCATACTGGGAATGGAGACCACAAGCCAGGTATGTTCCCTGACCCTGACTGGGATTCAAACCGTGACCTCCTGGTTTATAGGTCGATGCTCAACCACTGAGCCACACCAGCCAGGCTATGGTATAAAGTTTTAATGATAATGTCAGTGTGATTTGTATTGTATTCATTAAAAAAATCCCACAGTATCTAACCTTTGTATCTTTTTAAAAAGTTAAATTGAATTTTAAATAAATAAAATACTAGTGCTTTAAGCAACCATATAAATCATGATGACCTGGTCCCCTTGAGGAGATGAAGACACGAAGAACTAGAGAAAAGATAAAATGCCAAGTCTGAGGGGGTCAGTCAGGTCCCCTCATCACCTCTCTGGTCCTCCTCTGTGTCCTTCACTGTCCTTTCTGTGCTGCAATTTGGGCACCATTCAGCTTTCTCTAGAGGTGCAATTACAACCAGCTAATAAATAAAAGAAAAATATGGTTCCTGGAATAGATCCATAGTGTCTCTTTAAAATATGATGGCTGTTTACCTCCCTTTCTAGGTTAGGCAAATAGGAAGCTGAAAATAACGCTATTGTAAATCACTCCCTCTAGGGTAGTGCATTAGACAAGGGAGCGAGAACATCAATTAAGGAGAGTTTGCCAAAGGTTTTTAATTTATTGCTGGTGAGAAGTGCTGGCCTTACAGCAATTAGAGTGTGTATGTATGTGTAGAAGAGGTAAAGAGAGATATAAATGCACTATCAGCATGCCACCACCCTGGAGATGTCTGAAAATCTCGAAACACATATGAATTATATATATACTCAAGAGTTTTCTGTTCATATCGTGCTGGAATCATAGACTCTGTGACTTTGGGTCAGTTAAGTTCTTCACTCCTGAGCACTAATCGGTTTTCAGATAAATTGGGATGGGACCGGGAAACAGAAAGATGGGTATTCTTTGAATGGTTTATCTTGATCTTTGGCACAGACTGTATAATTTATTTTATAGAATAACCTCTGGACTTAATAGGTTGTTTAAAAAGGTTTAAAATAATATAAAATTGTTGTATCCTTTTGACTATCAATGGGAGAAAAGAGGAGTTATATAGTAACC